ATTGTAAAATAGAGGAAGGAAAGAAGGAAGGAAGGAAGGAAGGAAGGAAGGAAGGAAGGAAGGAAGGGATTGAGCAAATGTCTACAGTTTTGAATCATATACAAGGATTGTAAAATAGAGGATGGAAAAAAGGAAGGGAGGAAAGAAAGAAGGAATTGAGCAAATGTCTTTATAGCTTTGAATCATATACAAAGATTGTAAAATAGAGGAAGGAAGAAAGGAAGGAAGTGAGGAAGGAAGGAAGGAAGGAAGGAAGGAGGAAGGAAGGAAAGAAAGAAGAGATTGAGCAAATGTCTTTACAGCTTTGAATTGGCTTTAAATGGAATTTCAATGTGTTATTAATGGGCTAAATCTCTGAACTGTGCTCAAACACAGTTTTCCTACAACCTTGGGGAATGGATGAGAATTTTTAAATGCTTTGCTTTCTCATTAAGGATACGTGCATAGCTTGCCTTGGAAGGCAGAACATGATAAGCTGGGCCCACAGCTGTGAAATTTCTGTCCCAAGCATGCTGCAACCCACTTGGGAATGCTCTTTGCATTTAAGTAGGCTTTTTGGAAGTGGTTCAAAATCATTCCAGTAGAATTAATTTTTGAAATGAGGTGCAAATAGCTACATCCTATCTCCCAAAAAAGTTATGCTTGTGAAGTGGGATTTCTTTCTCTTGTCCTCAATAGCCCCATCTGTTCCACAGGCCTCTGGACCAGATTTGCGGATATGAATTGGGAAGATAATTCTATTATGAAAATGAAGGATCTGTTTCAGCTGCAGATTGACAACACAGAACACACAAGCCAATGAAAATCACCCTTTATTAAAAATAAGACTGTTTCTGTGAGTGTTCTATCGGATATTCCTAAAATTTGCTCTATTTTCTTTCTCATTTTATTGGATCTCTTATTTATCATAAAATTGCTGATTTACTTTCTAGTTTGTCTCTTTTGCTATTTTTACATCTTTGCTTTTTATCCTTTATTGACTGTATTCAACTTTGGTTATCAGCGTCTTATTTTAATTTCAAAGCTCTCTTGTTCTCCCAATTTTTTCATACCATCTTTCCTCGCTTGAGGATATTTTTATAAAACTTTTTTCATAAGTAGGAAGCTTTTATGTCTCTTTGAATAGGTGNCAGGTGGCTGCTCGTGAGCGTAGTCACCTCATGGCTGGTATGTTATGCTGCTGCAACAGCGCAACACAACCGTTTGCCTCTGAGGCTGTGCCTGGCTCTTCGGGCTCCTGCTCGCAAGAGAGCAGCTACCCGGCAACCCCAAAACAATAAGCGCCCCCCCCTCTCGGATAATAAGGCCCAATCAATATTTGGGAGGGGGGCAAAAGAAAATAAGACCCTGTCTTATTTTCAGGGAAACACGGTATCAACTAGTAATTGACCACATTACCATGGGGGCACTGCAGTGGTCACAACTCCAAGAACTAGTCATAAATACCTATTGCTCAGTGCTGTCCTAGCTTTCAATGGTCACTGAACAGTGGTTGTTAAGTGAGGGCTACCTGTATAACTGCTAATATGACAGAATATTGTGATTTGCTACTACGTTAGCAAATGTGAAATCTTCCAGAATACCAATCACATTTTTGTAAGGAAAACTTATCTTTCAGATGTCTGCTAATGACAGGCATTAAGCATAGTACATGATTCAGAAAAGAATTCTCATCAGATTCCACCTCAACATTTTGATGCCACTGGACGCCCATCTTAAGGTGGGCGCAAGACCTGGTACCAAGTAGAAAATCAGTATTAAGTTTTAATTGCAAATTTTAACAAGTGGCACAGGTAAGAAGGTGAAAATACCAAACCTCCTATAGATCTGTTACAGTTGTGTTATGTATTCTGATGATAAATAACAAAGGATTGTTGGAAAAATTACTACATTAGCCATAGTATGAATAGATCTATTCTTTCTTATTATATACAAATACATAATTTCTCCTTTTCCTTTCACTCTATTGGTGATAGAATCTCAGCTGGTCTTCAGATTACAACAGCAATTGGGATTGGCATTTCTGTCACTTAGCAATTGTTTTATTCTCTTCAATCTTGTTTCTCTTCAATCTTGCTTTTTAGCTGACCGTCTGAGTTTAACTTGTCTTACAATTAGAATATCTCTTAATGCCCTTACATGGATATTTAAATGGGGAACCACTTTTCAGATATATATTTTCACATGGAGTTTTAAATTGAGGAACAACTGGTCTTTACTCTGAGCTAAAGGTTTCTATAGCATTAATGATTGCTCAGTAATTATGAAGAAAAATTTAATTGAATATCACAAATATTGTGTGCCTGATTTTATAATGTCATGATTCAGGTTTATATGTAATGTTGTGTCCAACCTTTTTTATTCCCCAGGGACATGAATTCTATAATCCCCAAAAGAAAAACTATATATTTCTGCGCAATGCTGCTGAAGAACTAAAACCTAGAAATAAAAAGTAGTGAGTATAACTCTGTCCATTATTCCATGTTGTTTTCCTGCCACCTGCTCTCCTTTAGTCTCCTTGGAGTTGCCTATTCATTCTTTGCAGGACATTCTGTAACTAACATCAAAGCACATTTGGTTGGCTGGAAAATTAACCTTGCAAGGAATGCCTGACATGTGCATGAAGATGTGTCCTTTTTCTTAATAGAGGCAAAATCCTTGCATTGGATCAAGAGACAATAGTTGCATCTTTTAAAGGTACTTGTCAGTTTGAAAAACATGAATACTGCAGAAAATCTGAGAGATCCCCACCTTTCTTTTTTGTTTCCTTGATGGAATTCCATAAAAGAAAGGCTAACAATTGGGATCAAGGAAATAAACCTAAAGACAGTTGTGAGTGAAGTCTTTTTGTGTATTTTATTGTTATATTTATAGGTCAGCTTTCTATTTCAATGAAATCTCAAGGCAATGATTTTTCTTTTTATAATGAAAATGTAAAATTTAATATTAAACGACTGTCCACTTAGAACAAAATAATGTGTTCTTATTTTTATTCTGTATACATTATTTTTCTACCTATGAACGTGAACAATAAATTTGTGATTAAAAATCCCAAGCTAGACCAAGCCTATATATATTTGAGATGAGGGCAATTCTAGCATGCAACCATAACTTGGAAATTTTAGGCAATGCCTTAAAGGATAATTATTGGCCTTGATGCTCTTTATCATGTAGAAGCAGCATATGATACTGTATATCTTTGTAAAATTTTAAATCTTAGAACCCTGCCTTCCATTTCTGTGGGTCTGCATTAAGTGACAATGAGTGAATGAACAGGACAGATGTTAACATTGCACTGTGCCCATGCTTGTGTGGTATCAACAAAAATGAAGGACCAGTGTTTTAGAATATCTTCTGTGACTCAGTTGCATATGATTATTTCTGTAAACCAATCAGTGCCCTACTGTAAATGCAGGGGTGTCCCATCCCCCCAGATATATCCCAAGTAGAATAACAGTTTGCCCTCAGCATTTTTATGTCAGTTTCAACATCATCAAGCATGGGGATCAAATCAGAATACCACCAAATAGAAATGGTTTGGAGACTTTTATAATGTTATTTCAGTTGAGGTTTTCATTTTGGAATCTTCTGTGTGACTGCCAAAGGACTGTTCTTTCAAGGTTGATGCTGTAGCTATTTATAAAGAATGGGAGCAAAACTGTAGAACTTGTATATTATGATATTTCTGTCAATTCAATCTCTGTAAGTTCATATGTTGTAATATTTGCTACTATTTAAATAAAACTGATTTGAATTAATATGTTTTTTACATTAATAGGCGAATGGTCAAATGCTTATAATCTGGAGTTAGGCAGTGAAATAAAGGCAGCTGGCAATTGCTCTTACTAATTATTTAGCAGACTCTTCTTTAATATATATATATCTGCTTCTAAGAGAGGGCAATCACTAACTTCACTGTAAATGAGAAGTCTATGCTTATCTATGCATCGTGTAATCTTGCTACACTTTTCAGTTCAATAACTACACGGTTGTGCTACTACATAAAGTGTGCATGTCTGTTGTTCCTGGTTGGCTAACATTAAGTTAAAAAGTTAATTTGTGCAGCTTCAGACAGTTCATCCCAATACTATCTCCTATTTGTGTTGAGATTAGAAGGGATCTGATGAGAACAATGTTAGCTAATACTGTTTTAACTGAGGGTGCTTGCTAGAATTGAATCTGAAAGAAATTTAATCAACATGGTTTCATGCTGTTTAGTATCTTACAAGGATTCTTGATTTCTTAGCATCTCCTATGATGACCCTCTTCTACCCACTGTTAAAAGGTTACCTTCAGGTAACCTAAATGTCTCCCAACAGAGCCATAGATTGTTTTGATGTGAATCTGTGAGATTAGATGTAGGACTACAGAGAATTCTTTCTGCAGTTAGGCAGGTATGTGCATGTCCGGTATTTTGTTCAAATCAATCCAGAGTTTCACTGTGAAGGCCACAAGAAAATGCATATTTGGCACGCTGAAGCTCTGACTGCATCAATACTTGTATATGCCAATATTTTGAAATCAGCTTTGCATGCAGTAGGCTTTTAGGAAGAACAGATCTGCCCCCTAATCTACTGCTTATGGCAAGAATCTGATTGCGCTGTTTTAGATCATAGACAGTGGCTCATAAATATTTAAATGTTTGTGTCGGAGTGCTGCACTGTAACTAATATAATATAGACTAAATGTATACTCTTTCTGATTATAAAAAAAGCGTTTTTCATTTTTGCAGTTAAATCTTATGGAAGTCATTATGATTCTAGCAGGTAACCATTCTTTGTGTTTATGTGTGTGACCCCTATTACTCATGCAGAGCATTGTACTCCTGGTTTCACTAGACTATAGTTATAGTCCTCTACCCGTGACTATTCATTCAGTGAGTATTTGAAGTTACAGCTACGCTGAATGAATTATATCATGGTTATTCCAGCCCTTGCAGCATCCCTATGATCATTCTTGCAGACTGGATGCTATGCAACTGTTTCACACAGTTGGAAATGCCCTGGATCCTCCTGATTGCTATTTGTAACCTTCTCTGACGGCTACCTCAGAAAGTCAGTGGAGAAGCCAACAGGAAGGTTGCAAATTACTGGGGTAAGTCTCCTTCACCTGAACAACCTCCCCAGGCCTTCTGTACTCGTGCTCAGGGGACTATTCCCCAACCATTGCTGCACCTCCCTGACCTGTGCCATACCCTTCCTCACCCTCTCACACACTCTTCCTGACTGCCTCACACTATGCTTCATGACCCATGCCCCGCCTCTTACACACCCTTTGTGATCCATGCAGATATTGTTGTTGCTAAGCAATGTGGTTGCACTTTATGACCACATCATTTAGCGATGGAAATTCTGCCATGTTGAGGACTATCTGTATTTATGTAAAAGTTGGTTTTTTTAGAGTAATACATTATAAAACACACAATTAATATAGTGCTTTTTATTCAAGAGATTTGAACTATTAATAATTGTAACAGGCTTTTGCAAGATAACTTTGCTTTATGCAAAATAAAGTAATAGACAAATCAGGCATTATGTTGATGGATATTTTTTCAAAAGCTAATTATGATACTAAGTTTTGGCATTGTATCAGCCTTACTTTTTTGCAAATATAAATTCCAGGTATTTGACTTTTAAGACATAGCTTCTTTACAATGGCACTTTTAGGTAAACAACAAAAGTAAAATATGAACCAGAATCCAGTTGCTATGCTATTGGTGGAGTAGGCTATCATCAAAGGAATGGAAGTTAGTGTTTAACAATAATGCTTATTAATTTACTACAGTCATTAAGAAATGTCAGCAGATGTGCCATGTGCTACTATAATTCCAAACTGAGAGCTTAACCACAGTTGCCTGCAATTTTGTCACGTCTCATTTCAACTTCTGCAATTCATTGTTTTTTAAAATGGTTCTGAAACTACAAATGGTTTAGAAGCAGACTGGCAGATTATTAATTTGGGCTAATTTAATTTGGGATTTGTTGGGCTTCTAGGGAAAGTGCTAGGTGAAGTGCTTTAATGGGGCGGAACCAAGATACCTTAAATATCATTATTTCTTATGCATGGTTGTCTTCTTTGTAAAATCTTCATCAGGAGTCTAGCCACTCCCATCTATTAAAATAAGGTGAATGGATCAAGTGATACCCTATTCATTACTGCTTCATAAGGTAGAAGAATCCTTTTTCTAAAGAAACATTCAATTGGCCTTTTTCATATCAATGAAAAGATTTAATAGAACTTCTGTTTTTACAGTCTAGTTTTCTTCATTATTGTTGTTTTTGTTAGTTATTTTTTCCTTCCTTTTTTGAAAAGGATATATTTTCTGTGATGCCATGACAGATTGTGACTGCTCATAGAAAAATCTCTCTCCTTTCTCAAAAGTTGTCTAAGAGTGATAGCATCTTAGGGTCTACATTTTCTTGTGCACCACTTACATAGTACTTTTCTACTGCCACCAGTTGTCTTTCCAAGGGAAGGAAATGATGTGAGCTGGCTCTTCTTCCATTAGTATTGGCTTACAAGAGAGAGGGAGCATCTCAATTTGAGCAGTTACTTTCCTGAAAACCAGGTATAATGGTGGTGGTAGTAGTAGTAGTAGCACTAATACTGGTAGTAATGGAATAGGAAGTTCTGTAGCATCATCTGCAGGGCCTAGTAACTTTTAAGATGTGTGACAGAAAATAGTTACCCTTGCTTTGAAAAGAAGGCAAAAGCACCAATATTTTTTTAAAAAATAAGAAAAAGTACAATATCTATTTAACATTACGTAGCCAAATATACCGAGCAATGACAAATGGATGGAATAGGGAATTGAGTACTGATAAAAATCACAAATGGTGTCTCAGACATCAGTTTCCAACACGCCCATAATGGGAGGGAGCTGTCTCTTCTGTCTTTCCTCCTCAAGTTCTCAAGGAGTTTTTGTCTATCTGGAAAATACATGTGAGGAGAGAGCATGCCTATTTTGCTCCAATACAGTAAATGCTGGAGTTAAGGCCATGCCATGGACTCTGTGTATGTGTGCGTTTTCTTCTTAAATGTGCTTTTTAAAATAATGTAAACTATACAATGGAGTCTTTGTTTAACGAGCACTCATTTAGTGACTGTTGAAACTTGTAACAGCACTGAATAAGACCAGTGCTTGAAATTCTAGCTATTATAGTATACCCCCCCCCGCCCCACAGTCACGTGATCACGATCCAGCCGCTCAGCAACTGACCCAGATTTCCAATAGCTGCAGTGTCATGCATTTTGATGTGATTGCAATTTTCACCTTTCCTCCTGGCCTCCCATTAGCAAAGTCAGTGGAGGAAGCTGGCGGGAGGTTGGAAGCCAACGGCCATTTGAGGGCCTCACTTAATGAGCTGCGTGGTCCTTGCTTATCGATGGTAAATGGAGATAGATAGATAGATGATAGATAGATAGATAGATAGATAGATAGATAGATAGATAGATAGATAGATAGATAGATAGATAGATAGATA